GCATTGCCAACTCAGAAGCAAATGGTTTGAATTCACCAGCTGCTCTGTAGGAGAAAAAAAATCCCCTCCCTTGTGATTTATTACCTCTGAAAACCACCTGGAGAGTCAGCTGTGAGTCAGTTCCCACTCAAAGGTACATAAAACAACAGTTATGGATTGAGGAAGATTCATGAACAATATATATTATGCAGATGGAACAATCTTGTTTGCTGAAAATGAAGACGACTTGAAACAATTACTGTAGCAGATCAAAGACTACATGATGATGAATTACATCTCAACATTAAGAAAATAAAAATCTTCACTAGTGGACAATAGACAACCTCATGAATGATGGAGAAAATAATAAAATTGTCAATTATCTCATTTTACTTGGATCCACAATAAATACTCAGAGCAGCAGCAGACAAGAATCAAAAGACATGTTGCATAGGGAAAATCCATTATCAAGGACTTCTCCAAAATTCTACAGAGCAAGATGTCAGTTTGGAGACTAAGGCACATCTGACCTAAGTCACAGTATTTTCAAATACTTCCTATGCATCTTAAAGTTGGACAATGACTAATGATGACAGAAAAATTGATGCATTTGAATTGTGATGTTGGAGACGGGTACTGAACGGACTGCCAAAAGAACAAGCAAATCTGTCTAAAAGGAAGTACAACCAAAGTGCTCCTTAGACACAAGAACAGTGAAGCTTCATCTCACTGACTTTGAGTATATTTTCAGGAAGAACTAGTCCTTGGAGACAGACATCATGTTGAAAGATCATTGAAAGAGAGGATGACCCTCAATCAAATGGACTAGCACACTTACGGTAACAATGGTATCAAGCATCTTAGAGATTGTAAGGACAGTGAAGGACTGGGCAAGGTTCAGATCTGTTGTTTATACATTACTATAAGTCACAGTCAACAACACCTAAGAACACTGGTCAACAATGGATTTCATTCATTATTTATATGAAATACCGCAGTTTTTGCTGTCTCCTGATATTGAATAGCTTATTTTCTTTATCTTAAGACAAAAAGATTTATTTTGGAAAACAATTGTGTGAAAAATCCTACCTGAAAGTTTCAAAATTATTTTAGTGTATAGATTTTTCAAGACTACATTAATACATTTTTCAACAGCTATCAGCCACATCTTTAGTGCCAAGTGCAGACTGTTCCTAGTCTTCTTTTAAAGATCACACACACAGGACTTCTAGGACTCTCTAATGCATCCTAACAGAATGAGCATAAATGAAGTGATGGAGGTACAGTGGGAAGAGCACAACCTGAGGGAGGAGGCCCAAATGCCGACCTGAGTCTATCTGCATGTGATCTAGGATAATTCACTCAACAACCCTGTATCTTTGCTTTCACCTAAATGGAGAATTTCAAGCTACATATTCTCTATCGTCCTGAATTTGTGCAGCAGTTGAAGTAGACAGAAGCTTGCTTTTTTTTTTTTTTAGAAATCATTCACAAGCCCAATAGAAGTCATCATTTGAGAAAAACCTGAGGAAAGTATTTCTAAGTGGTCATGATTCTAGGCGACAGTAAGGAGGAAAAGTGGGTGAATTTTCAATCCTTATTGTGAAGGGAGTTCTGGTGGCCCAGTGCTAAAGAGCTGCACTCACAGTTCAAATCCACCAACTGCTTAGCAGGAGAAAGATGGGCCAACTCTTCCCTCCGTGTGATCAGTTATAATCTAGTATTCTGGCCAATTAATCGCTACAAATCCTATACCAAGGAAAAATCCAACTAAAATATATTCAAATAAAGTAGTGGTGGTGGTGTACCACTGTCCCACAGGGACAGGTTTCTTTGACTCTTTCATGGATGCAGTCAGCCTCATTGATCCTTTCATGAAATGGCTTGGCTGGAGAGTTCCAACCGAGGACATTTTGGCTGGCAGTCAAGGATTTAACCACTGTACCACCAGAGCTCCTTTTCAACTGCACTGCCAGACTTCAATGCTTACTGAAATTTTTGACAAAGGAGCTACTCTGGGCATATTTTCTATTTGAGCTAAGTGCCCTGTTGATGGGCACAAAACATGTGAAGGACCTGGGTTTCCTGACTTGAAGCCATATATTTCATTTCCCTATTTCATCCACCACAATTTCTTTACCCTTATTAACAATGGTATGTGCTCGAGTTAAGTATCCATAGATGAAATAGTTACAACTGCTGTGTCTGAAATCAGGTCATTTCACCTAGCCAGCAGTATCACATGTTTTTTCAACACTGACAGAATCACTCTTAGAAGCATGGGTGGGGTTGTATCACAGATTAACTTATGCATGGCCAAAGAAGGAGGCAATGAATCCCACCAACTTCAATGAGCCAAATTTGACACCCAGAGTCTTCACAGAAAACATGGAAGAAGGCTGCTTGATACAAAAGGATTTCTCATAATAAGGACAATGAGATTGATTTAGTAATTACATAGAATTGTGTAAATTATGCACAGAATAATGAGCTGTGAAGAAATCTACACTTCTCTGGCTTCTGGGACCAAATGACCTTGTGAGCTCTGATACCCACCTACCCCACTGCTGTTGAGTGGATTCCAACATTCCCTCAGGTTTCTGAGGCTGTAAAACTTCACAGAAAGAAACTGCTCTCCTTTCTTCCCTGAGCAGATAGGAGATTCAAACACTAATGTACTACATCACCTAAGTCGGTGTCCACTGTTGCAGCAAGCTGACTCTGACTCACCCATTGAGCAGAGCTGCCCCATAGGTTTCTGAGGTCATTCATCTTTACAAAGGCAGACTGTGGTTGGAATCTTTCTCCCATGGAGTCGGTTTGAACCACTAAACCATTCAGTCAGTTAGGCGTCCTGTGCTGAACTCACAGCACCAAGCCTTATACACAAGTGCATTAAAAAGCCAAATAAACACACCCCAAAATCATTCACAGCTAATGTTTCAAGGTGAATCTAAGTGGGAACAGACATTTTGAATTTGTATACACAAATGAGATAAAGTCTCCTTAGACCTCTATCAGTTCAAGACTGGGTTTATAGGCCTATGAAGGTTCAAATTCTTGTAAGAGCTTGTGAGTACAATCTTTTCAGAGAAGAAGGATTTTCAAATAGACTAACAATGCCACTATTTCATGGTTACACACAATGATTCAGAGATTCTGTTAGGTTTAATGACTTGTATATCCTCGCAACCAGACTAGAACTCACCCAGTCCACTGTTCTCTCCAATTACAGTTCTTGAACACATGTGGGGGTAATGTGGAATGGGGTCTAGGAACCCCAACACTCAACTATCAGACATGCACAGGAAATTGATTCTTACACAATTTAAATACCAAAGTATACATGAAGGATGTGATCCTTCTCATGAGCTTATCTGATAAGCCACTGCTGGATGAGTGGCCCTCACAGCCAGATCACCCAGATAACAAACAAGGGCACAGCAAGGAGAACTCAAAAGTCCTTGAAGCTTCTCACCACCTACCTAAAAGGAAAAGCCTGCACTCTCATCCCAGGTACTAGTGCCTGAGTACCTAGTTCCTGATCCACCTAGGTTCTCAATGTCCCTCATGCCATCTCTGCGTGTATGTGTGTGTGTGTGTGTGTGTGTGTGTGTGTGTGTGTGTGTGTCTAAGGGGTTAGCACATCCTGGGTAGCAGCCCGCAGCTTCCTCCATTTGCTCAGGGCCTGTGCTTAGAGGTCTGAGCTGTGCAGTCAAGCCAAGATCCTGGGGCCCTCCTACCATCCTTTACAATGTGATCAGGGGGTGTGTGGAGGGCTGTGTCCTGCCGAAGCGTTTTCTAGATTGGAGCATCTTGCAAGACGGGTCCTAAGTACTTGTATGGACACACCACGAAGGAGACAAATATGCATAAAATGGTTCCCTCCCCCCACATCTCTCACCTACTTATTACCCACACTTAGGTTTGAGGAACTCAGATTGACAGACTTTCAATCGCCTATTGCAGTTATCTCCATATTTTAAAGTTCTTTCGCTTGACGGTTTTTAGCTAAGTCAGTACGTTTCAAACTTAGAGGGGGAGGGGGAAATCCTCAGAAAATAGAAGCCACTCTCTTTAAACCCCACCCAGAGGACAAAAATCTCTAGACTTCTCCAAACACAACATCTTAACCTCCTCTTACTCTACTGTAGTGGCGCAGTCGGTTCCTCCGGCTCTGGGGTGCAGCGGGCTCTGCCAGTCCCCACCTCACTATCTAATAGATTTTCCAGACGAAACCCCGCCGGGGCTTGCGCGGCGGCCTCGGGGAGGGCTCCGGGACCCATTCATTCCACGGCCTCGGTGAGCTGCCTGGCACGTTAGGCTGCTCCTCCCTGCTCCAGCCCGCTTCCCCGGGGAAGCGGCCAGTCAGCTCCGGGAGTCTGATCCTCCTCAGCCCCGCGCTTGCTGCTTTGCGTCCGAGACCGAGACCCGGGCGCGGAGAGAGAAGGCTCCGATGGTGCGGGATCAGAGAAACCAGCATTGGGCCCAATTCCCCGAAGCGAGTCCCCCAGAGCGACAGGGCGGGGCGGCAGGGACAGAGTGGAGAGTTCTAGAGGAGCGGCGGGAAGCGGCGTCCGGGGTCCCAGGTCACGGCCAGGGAGCAGAGGAAAAGGAAACCAAGCACGCTGACATGTCAACAGGGCTTCCCTTCTGAGGAGTCCGGCGCACACCCATCAGCACACGCCCGCGCGAATCGCCTCCCGCAGCCCGTATGCCGGGAACCCACGGGTGGCCGCACCTCTGCCCGCCCCCGCACTGCTCGCCGCCCTTCCAGCGCCCGCGCCCCCGAGTCCAGCGCCCGTGCGGGGTGGCGCGGGAACCTGCCGGCTCCTGCTGGCCCAGGCTTGGCGCCCCACCGGGTGCGGGCAGGCCCCCCTGGGTGCCCGGCCGCGCCCCCGTCACGGCGCCCGGCCCCCAGTCCCGAGGAGTTGGCGGGCAGCCCGGGCAGAGGAAGCAGCGAGCTGGCCACGTCCTCCCGGACCCCGCGCCCAGCCCACCAGGGCCGGCCAGTGGCTTACCTTAATAGTCCCGTCCATTTGGCGAAATTTGCGGCCGAGACCCCCAATATTCCACACATTGACCCGGTTGCAGCCCGCCCTCGCAGCCCCCGCGGATCGGCCCGACGCGGCCTCTGGCGCCTCAGCCTCCCTGCGCGTCCCGGGCGAGCGCCCTGCCCTCCGCCCCGCGCACGTTTGTTGTTGTAGCGGAGCGAAAAGAGACAGTTAACCGGATGAAACTTTTTTCAGCTAATTTTGGGAAGTGACTTCACTTTGCGAAGTCGGAGAGGAAGTACTCTCTCACTCTTTCTCTCTCTCTCTCTCTCTCTCTCTCTCTCTCCCCCCCCCCTTGGCTTCCCCTCGGCCTCCCTCCCCTGCGCCCCCGCGCCTCTTGCCGCGGCTCCTGCTTTTCGCATCACACGCGCTGTATAAATATGCGCGCGATGCCCAGATGCCCGCGTGCGCGGCGCACGCACAATCCTGGCCGCTGGATAGGAGGACGCCCTGGGAACAAAGCCGAGGGCCATACCAAGTGTCTGGCCCCTAATTCTCGCAGTCTGCCCCCCTTCATTTTCCCCAGAATTTGGCCTCCTTCCTCTTCCCGGGGCTGTTGGCCGAAGGTGGCCCTCCTGACTCATTCACTTTCCGTTTCTTCCCACAGTTTCGTTCATTAATGCTTTTTCCAGCCCGAGTTTTAAAACTCGGGGTGGGGGGTGGAGTTGGGGTGGGGAGACGGTGGAGGGAGTTTATTTAGGCTGAGGGTAGCCTGGAGCTTCCACTGAGACGCCCAGAACAAAGTGCATCAGGGCAAAGCTCTCTCTCCACTCCGGCTTCTGGGACTAGGGGCTCAGAACGCAGCTCCCAACCCACTGGGGACCCAGATCGTTCAGAGAGAATACCCCGCGGATTTTGCGCGCGGCTCTACGCCTGAAAGGCACCTGGGACCGCGGACGGCAGAGACCCACCCAGGCCAACTCTGCGCTCATTCCAGGGCTCAAAACCTTGACGCGGATGCCACCACCCGACTAAGGCCCCTGAGCCGGAGCCTTTTCTGACTTCACCTGGCCCCAAGGAGCCTACTCTCTGCGCTTTCTTCCCTGGTCCAGGGGGACATGGGGCGCAGCACGCACAGGGGGCCACGATGACCCACACCTTTCCCGTATGAGACCTGGGCATCCTCTGTTGGGAACGTCACTCCTCCACCCGGGAGCTCCTGCCTCTGCTCAGCGGCTTCCCAGAGATGCCTCCCAGTATCCCTGCTGGGTGGCCAGCTTCCACTGAGACAGGTTTGAGATCCCTCCAGTGAGGAGACCCCAGGACTTCTGGCCTGACCCTCTTCGCCCCGACCTCCTCCAAATCAGGTTTACCTTGTTCACGCTTTCCAGACCACGATTATGACTGTGTCACTTTTATTTAAGAGTCCGCCTGGGGAAAAGAGGAAAAATATCCAGAGAAGTTCCGAGCCAATGGGAAAGAAAACTTTTCAAAAGGTTTCTCATCCACAGCGGCGATGAAGGTGACTTATTAGTTCTTTATTTCCTCAGGAGCAAGTGAGCCCGGGAGCTCGCTGCTCTCCCTTCCTCCCGCCTCCCTCCCCTCGAAATTAGTCTCATCAATTCCACTCCAATTAGGTGTTCGAATACAGACACCGATCTGAACGTGATCAGACCTAGAGTGGCGAGCGCAGCCTGCCAGCAAATGAGGCTCCGAAGGCGCTGGGGGTTGGGGGGGTTGAGGAGCACGGAGGCCGGGCGGACTCCCCCCTCTTCTGTCTGCTTCTCAATCCAGGGGCCTGCTCGGGGTCTCCCCAGGGACCGCCACATCTGGTTACCGCTAGCGGGGTCAGTCCCCCCCCCCCTTTGCCTGGGGCCACCAGCTCTGGAGTTCAATTAAAAGAAATCAGGCTTAACCCTTTCCTGCCCGCAGCCTGCCCGCTTGCTTGCCGGCTAGCTCTACCCATCAGCGTTTCCACATGCTTTCCAGAGAGGAAAGAGGTTAAAGGGAAAGGAAGAATGAATTACATCCTTTCAAACCCCAAATTGTTTCCTTTTCAGCCCAGCCTCTGCTGACTTTCAAACGACAACAGGGTTTTTCAGAAGGACGCTGGGGAGACCACTTCCCACCCTGACCTCGCCAAAAATCAGTGGACCCCACACTACCCGGTTTGGGTCAGAAAAGAAGCCAACTCCGCTAGCCCTTCCGGGTGCTGGGAGTCTCTTTGGCCAAGCTGGTCATTTCAGAAGGGGCAGATGCCCCCTCCCCCACCTCCATAGAAGACACCTAGGTGGCAGACACACTACTCAGGTTTCCAGCCCTGGCTCCCCGCCAGCCCTGGGTTGTCTCCGAAGTGAGGAACCCTCCCACCCAGGCCTTTCGCTGGACTGCCTTTCCAGGCTAAGGGCTCATGTGCATGGGTCACTCTGAGCGCTCTTCCCCTTTCAGTTAGCTGTGGAAGGCAGAGGTACTTATTGTTTCTGCCTGTAAAACCAAAGCTAGTGCAATTTTGCAATTTTCAAAATGAGGAGAGGGGGAGGAGATGAGAGGCTGACCTGGGCATAACCATTGCCCCTTTGTGACTCCTGGGGACAAAGCTCTGGGACTACCACTATCTAGAGCTCCTACCCAGTTCTCACCCCCTCAAGACAGCTCCTCCCCCCCAACCCCGCCCTCCGCAGGCTCTCTGCCCAGGCCAGCGCCCCTCCGCTGTGCACCGTTCTGTGAGGGAATATCGGGTTTCCTGCCCACGAGGTGCTGGTGGACAAGCTTGCCCCTTATATAACTGGGGTTTGATGGCAGTCCTGTGCTGCTCCTTTTTTTTAAATCCCAAAGAGGGAAAAACCCTAACCAAGCACAACAGTAAACAAGTCTGTCCTGTTTAATGTGGTTTCCACCAGACATCTGGAAAGATAGTTTGATCCTGGCAGCTCACATTGTTTTCACGAGCAGCCAAAGAGAATATTTTGAATGTTTGCATTGAAACAAATTGATAGAGAGCAAGGTGAAGCCTGCTACAAATGAAAATGATCCTGGGGTAGGAGGGAGCACAGTTCCTCGCCTCTCCAGCCCGCACCCTGCTGGGCCGGCCCCCTCCCACACACTTGCACACACCCTCTTTTTTGGCTCACCAGGAGCAGGAGCGGCCTGGCTCTCTCTTTCCCAGACTGGGCAGGGCTGGTGGCCCGGAGCTGGTGTCGGGTACCAGGGACGCCCATTCCACCAGTCCAGGCTGACTTTAAAGTCGAGGGATGCTCACGGCCAAGGAAGCCTGCCTCACGCACTGAAAAGGAACACACAAACTCAAAACCTTCCATCTGGGGGGAAACATGACCCTGCCATTTCTCAGTCTGGATTCAGTTCTAGAAAGGTGAGCCCGGAGGTAGTATTCAGAAAGGATTTTGGCTTGGATTACCGCCATCGGAGCCCACCAGCCGCACTTGATAGTATTTTCAAAGATGCGGAAGTCCTGGAGGCGACTGGCCAAGCCATCCACATCTCGGCTCGCTCAGTGTCAGCCCTTTTGGTCAAGCTTCTCGGCGCTCCAGCCCCAGGCCCTGCTAGGGAGTGAAACAGTGTTGGGGTCCCTCTAGAGTCCAGGGCTTCAGTCACTTCAAACCCTGAAAGACACCAGGCCTAGCTGAGCATGCTGATAGGCTCCTCACGCCCTCCAAGCCAAGCACGGCCAGGGGATTCGAACTGGCTAAACAGGAGAGGGGAGTGTGGGGAAGAGGCGGGAGAGAGAGGGAGGGCGGGGGCGGGAGTGGGCCAGCCAGCGCCAGAACTCCAGACTGCACAACTGCAGCTTCCAGTGTCTGCCCCCTAGCTCGGGGCCATAATTAATTTGAGATTTATTTTTATTGGAGAACCCAAGTCTCGTCTGACCTTAGCCAAACAAGGCAGCTCGGGCCGCCACTGGATGCGCGTGAATGCCGTGGCGTATTTCTGCAGGAAGTTTCTGCAGGCGCGCCTGCTTTGAATTTGCTTCTCAGACTTCATCTACTCACAAATTTGAAGAAAGATTTAGGGCCCCTGCTCACCCCTTGCCCGCTCGCCACGCTCGTTTGTGCCTTAGCGCCAAGCAGGTTCCAAACGCGACGTGGGAGGCGGAGGCTTGACGAGCTGCCCCCCGGGGGGGGGGGGCGGCCCGCGGCCTGCAGGGTCCCCAGACCCCGCGGAGTCCAGGACTCCCGTGAGGCTCCGAGAGGCTGGCTGACTGAACGCGGAGACCCTCACCGGTGGCGGCGCCAGGATGGGAGCGTTGGGGGCTTAGGCCTCGCCTTGCACTAGCCCCTACCTGCCAGTCTCCTTAAACAACGTTCATTCTAAGTAAACAACTGTTGTCCTTGTACCCAAGCGGCCAAGTGCTGCACCGGCCCCTGGGCGGCGTGGCCCGCAAGGTTCTGCGCTTCCAGACACTGGCTGGCGTGGGGTGGCAGCGCGGCTGGGTCCCAAAGGTGGAGAGTGGGTCGGGAGGGCGAGGATCCAGGAGTGGGCCTGGCAGTGACACCGCACGTCACTCAGCCAGGCCCCATCCTTCCTCGAGAGCGATGCTGGGATTCAAGATCTTTCAGCCGGTGGCCTTGAATTATCAACTAATGAGCATAAATAAGATTCTTCATTTTCTGATCCTTGGTTTCCTCATCTATAAAATGGCAATGATAAGAGGGCTCCTCTCAGAGGGCTGTTGTGAAGGTGAAATGACGGGGTACAATTCGTTTGGCCCTGGTCGGTGTTTTGCTGTTTAAAATCGGATTATATTTGGGGGTAGGGGGTGGGGTTTGGGGAGGTGCGGGGGGAGGGGATTGTATACCAATGAGGGAGTTTTTCTTTTGCTTTTCAAGGAGAGGAGCAAATGGGGGGGGAGGGGGAGGGAGGGGTTTGTGCGGGGAGACGGGTGCAACAATGGATGAATGGAATCCCAAAATCTCTGTAGATGTTCATTGAAATGAAAAATAAACAACCTAAATTTAAAAAAATAAAATCGATGTGACCCAAGCGCCCAGCTGGCCTCTGGATGCTTCATGGCCATAAAAGAGTAAATACAAGAGCAACGCTTGACAGGGGACCAGCAAGGCGAAAAGGCTCTGAGAAGTGCCAGCCATGGCTTCTGGAGCCCTCAGCCCCATCTCCTGCTTCCTCCCTACTCCTCATCCTTCCCCTCCTTTTGTACCGGCAGCCTTCTTTCACTGCCACCCCTGCACCTGGAGAGCCCTTCCTGTCTCCCAGGT